CAACGACGCGGACACGTGGAAGTGCGGCGGCTGCTCCGCGCGGAACCCCGTGCCGCCGGGGCTCAACGACCGGCGCGGCGTGCTCGACCTCATCCGGCGGCAGCAGCAGGGCGACCTCGCGCACGTCAAGTGCGGCACCTGCGGCCGCCAGCATCCGCTGCTCGAGGTCGCCCTGCGGCCCTGCGACTGGCTCCGGCCGCCGGACCTGCGGGACGACGTCACGATGCTCACGTCGGACGTGCCGTGGGCCGTGTTCCGCGGCGACCCGCGCGCCGACGACATCCGCCAGGGCGGCGTCGGCAACTGCTGGCTCGTCTGCGCGCTCAGCGTCCTCGCCGACGTCGCGCCGTGGACGCTGCGGGACGCCGTGCTCACGAAGGACTACAACCCCGCGGGCGCGTACCAGGTCCGGCTCTGCCTCGCGGGCGCGTGGCACACCGTGCTCGTCGACGACCTCTTCCCGACGAACGCGTTGGGCTGCCTCGCCTACCTCAAGGCCGCGCGCCGCGCGCTCTGGGCGCCGCTCGTCGAGAAGGCGGCCGCGAAGCTCCACGGAAGCTACGAGGTCCTCGCGGGCGGCACGTTCGCCGAGGCCTTCCACATGCTCACGGGCTTCCCCGTGCAGCAGCTGCGCCTCGACGCCTACACGTCCACGGGCGGCGCCGCGGCGAAGGCCTTCCTCGAGGGGCCCGACATGCCCGCGGACAGGTTGGCCGAGGTCCGCGCCGCGCGCGCGGAGGCGTTCGACGGCCGCTACCCGGGCGGCGCGGACGACGCGGAGCTCGAGTTCTTCGCCATGCTGTACTCCTACAAGGAGAGCGGCTTCGCCGTGGGCGCGTCGACCTTCGTGAGCGACGGCGCGCTCGAGGTCGAGATGCGCGGTCTGGGGCTCCAGACGCGCCACGCGTACGGCGTGCTCGACGTCGCGACCTACGACGACGCGCGGCTCGTCAAGCTGCGGAACCCCAACGGCGTCGCGCTGTGGAAGGGGCCCTGGTCCCGCGACGACGCGAGCCGCATGACCAAGGACGCGCGGCGCGCGCTGGGCCTCGACGGCGAGGACCGCGGCGTCTTCTGGATGGCCGTCGGCGACTTTCTGAACTACTTCGTGGAGCTCACGGTGTGCCGCCTGCTCAAGGACCGCCTCGAGGCGCGGTCCAGCGGCTGGCTCGCGAGCGCCTTCGGCAGCGGCGAGGCGTTGCTCGTGGAGGCCTACGCGCGGACGGCCGTCGAGGTCGCGGCGTACCAGGAGCCGCACGCGGTCCGCGGCGAGACGGCGCAGGACACGGCCGTGGATCTAGGCGTGGCGCTGCTCAAGTGCGCGACGCGGTCCGACGAGCTCAAGAGCGAGGGGTCCGGTGCGGCGCTCGCGAGCCACGCGCTCGTCGCGTCGAGTCCGCGCGTGAACCACCGCGCGGGCGCGCGTTTGGACGCGACGCTCGAGCAGGACGACTACCCGACGACGCGCTACCTCGTCGTCCCCCTCTGCTTCGGCCACCTCACGTCCACGGAGCCCCGCAAGTACACGGCGGCGATCCACAGCGACGGGCCCCTCGCGGTGGAGACCGTGCCGCTCGCGCCGGCGACGGTCGCGGCCGCGCTCGCGCAGCTCGCCGTCGCCGAGGGCCGCAAGTCGCCGCTGCTCAAGCACCCGACGACGGGCGCGGAGATCCTGAACATCTACGCCCTCGAGGACATGGCGGGCTACGTCGTCGTCGCCGAGAACCTGAGCGAGCTCACGCTGCAGACGGAGGTCGACGCGTCGCAGCAGACGCGCGGCTTCGTCTCGAGCCGCGGCGCGCTCTTCTGCCAGGACGTGCTGCCGCCGCGCACGCGCCAGGTGCTCGTCATCCTCAGCCGCGACGCGGGCGCGAAGCGGTCGTCGCTCGGGTTCTCGTACAACGCCGCGGCGCTCGACGGCGGCGCGCCCGAGAACCA